ACAACCATATTTCATATAGCCAGACAGGAATATTCATGTGTAAGAGAGCTAACTGACAACCGCAAGTCAGAAGCCCTAGGAGTGGCATCTGAAACCAGTGGTGAAAACGATTATGCTTAATTAAATAATCTTAAAGCGACATTAGAGGGAACGAGGACATAAAATGGTGTGAATATGAAATGTGATTGATAAGTTGTTATTCTGTGAAACAATGGCGCCTCTCATTGACGATGCCCGCGAAACATCTGGGAATGTACCAAGTCTACGTTACGATGCTGGAAATCATGAATACCATGTCAAAGCATGCAATACTAGGTACGTTCCACAAGGTCTCGATGTCACTTCGACCAAGCTGCGAAAAGGAGATCACTCCAACATTATACAGCCAAATGAGACTACGGCCATACAAAAGGCCACTCCTTCTTCGTCTTTATCTCAAGTTCAATTTCTTGTTTCGAAATATTTTTATTTTATTCATATTATTTTAATCATCGATCAACTTTGCCTATTATAGTCTCCGTGGCTTCTGCTCAGCCTACCAACCTTCGTGCACTGCAGCCTCCTATGCTTGTTCATTATGATATACCAACAATTTCTTCTACTTCGGAAGCTTGCCACTCCCTAAACGGCTACGCACGACTTTTCGGACTTCTCTTCCTACCACATTCCAAGCCATCATCTCTATTTGAAATTCCATCAGAAACTCAAATTCCATCTACCACTTCCCTCATTGAAGATGAGCATTGCAAGATTCAGTTTATGGACTTAAATTTTTCATCTCATGAGCAGAAATTCTATTCCTATCCAACTGTTCATATCATTTACGGTGGGCCTGGAGTGCAGATGGTCTCCGGAACATTTTCGAAAGTTATGTAAGCAATCAAATAATTCACTTATTGTGAAGAAATCTATTGACTCTCCTCTTAAGATTATTTATAGTATCACATGGTAGCCGCATAGATTGAATCAGAACAAGCGCTTATCGAAAATTTCACTATTAAATCAGGATTAGCAACAAATTGCTATCTATATTTGCTACTTTTTCTATTGAACTGTATTCTTTGCCTACCGACTGTTGGTCCGACCAGAAATACACACTCACTATCAATCTACATTGGGTTCATTTCACAGCTTTTCCCATAATTTTCCCTAAGATATCAATGTAATTTTATTTAATTTACTCCTCCCTATTTAGAGTTACTCTAGTTAGTTCTCAATACCATTCCTGAATATCACCTCCATATTCTGAATAATTCTTTTTAAGATTGAGGCTATTTGGCCCGTAAATGAGAATTCATCTCATCAAGCTACAAAATTTTGTCAATGAATCCCTTAGTTTTTAGTTCTTTAATTAGATGCAAAGAGTATCTGGTTTAAATGAATCTCTTAAGATAAATTTGTTGGAGAGACCGTTATTTCTTATGAAAGTGCACGATAAGGAGATTCATAGGTCTATATCATCAGAAGATGACGGCCGATTCTCGTTTCGCCAGGGCCTTTTGGCTTTAATAAGATATTCAGGTTGGCGCAGTCCACCAGATATCCGATTTAGGGCAAAAACTAGCTGAGCTTTCGTCTATTATATGTTGGATATGAACTTATTCTTACAAAAACTCAGATATCTAGCTTACGCCTTATATATATATATATACTCATGAATAAAAAAAACATACAAGTTTATACATAGATAGCTATATAATGATTCCACTTCATATAAGTCATAGTTTTTTGCTTGAGTGACATCACGGCTTAATTATCCAAGAAAAAGATCTCGGTCGAGACTGCATAAGTTCGTCTACAACTCCGGTTGACATATTGAGATGTAACCTTGTACGCGTTACGAACCACCCCTTATAACCCTTCAGCTTAGAGTCATTAAGGTTTAAGGACCCAATTAAAGGCATGACTGGTATTTCGTAATCTACGTCTGGTTTAATCAAAATAATGAAGACCAAGATGGTGTGGCCTTTTGTGTGACCGCAGTCTCCTTTCATTGTATAGAGGTTGTTTGACCTTGTTTTCGCAACTTGGTCATATATGTAGGAAGACCTAGAGGAACACACTTAGTCCGAAGTCCATTCTATGCATAATACTTTCCAAAGTCGGACCCTGGACGTGATATATTTCCAAACGTTTCGCCGGCATCATAGTTGGCATCATCAGTGAGTCTCGCCATTCTTAGTACCATACAGCAACTCGTCAAAGAGACAAGTAAGCCTATCCTTTGACCAAACGTGTGCTAAACAGTTGTGGTATCTCCCCTTCTGCTCTATGCTATTCACATTCTCTATATCCTCCTATCACGCCTTCACTGTCACATTTTTTTACCGTGCCTATTTAGATGTAGAGTTGTGTGCTT